CTTTCCTTCTATATACTAGAGAGAATGGAGAGAATTTTGTAGTAGAGTGCTTTGTTGTTCGATAAGCTAGTAATACTGAAGGTAGAATTTCATCCCATTCCTTGTATTTGTAGCTTATTATTTTTGCTAATGCTTCACCTATTGTTTGGTTAAAATGTTCAACTATTCCATTAGTTTGAAGTTGGTAAGCAGATGATTTATGATGTTTAATTTGAAATTTTTGACATAAGTGTAGTATAACTTCACTCATAAAATTAGATCCTTGATCAGATTGTAGAATTGTAGGTGTTCTATGCTGACAGATTATTTCCTCATAGATAAAATTAGCAACAGTAGTAGCTTTAATATCATTTACTGCTTTAGTTTTAGGCCATTTAGTTAAGTAATCTATAGCAACTATAATATATCGGTTGCCTTGTTTAGTGATTGGTAAAGGTCCTTTAATATCTATCCCAATCCTATAAAATAGGCTTTTACTTGAATAGGGATTAGATCCTGCCTAATAATTTTATATCCATGACGTTGGCATATATCATAAGTTTGGATATATTGTTTGATATCATTATACATATTAGGCCAAAAATATCATTCCTTGATTTTGTTATAAGTTGAACCAATTCCTAGATGTGTTCCTTGTTCATCATGTAGAGAGTAGAGTATTATATGTTTTTGATTAGATTTGATTACACGTTGAGGCTTATCCTTGTTTCTTTTAAATAAAATATTGTTTTCAATAAAATAATTTTTAACTTCTTTTTGTAAATAAGATTTTTCTAAATTAGAGTAGTCTACAGGGTATTCGAGAGTTGTAAGAAAGTTATAAATTGTTTGATATAGTTGTTCATCCATTATCCTTTAAATATTCAGGTAGACATGAGAAGAAATCAGCATTGTTATTCCGTTTACCAGCATGATATTTTATATCATATTGGTATTCCTGTAGAGTTAACTACCATCGAGTTATCTTTTTGTTATCATTGATTGTATATGAGTTTAGTAGCCATTATAATGCTTTGTAATCAGTTATTAGAGTAAATCTTATTCCAAAAATATAATATCGAAAATATTTTACTGCCTATATTACTGCTAAACATTCTAATTCAACAGTACTATAGTTAGCTTCAGCTTTTGATAATATCCTACTTGCATATGCAATTGCATATTCCTTACTATCCTTAACTTGAGATAGTACTGCATCTAAGCCTTGATAAGATGTATCTGTAAAGAGGATAAATGATTCATTATAGTTAGGATATTGCAGAATAGATAGTATAATTAAACTTTGTTTAAGCCAGTTAAATACATTATCACATTCCTGAATCTATTTAAATTCTATATCCTTTTGTAATAATTTGTTTAGTAGAGCTGCCTTTTTAGAAAACCCTTCAATAAACCTTCAATAGTATGATGCCAGTTCAATAAATGCACGTAGTTGTATTAGGTTTTTGGGAGAAGGTAAATTTTTAAGTTTGTCAACCTTTTGGGGATCAGGTTTGATTCCTTTACTTCCTATTATATGTCCTAAAAATTGTATTTCATTTGTACAAAAATGATATTTTTCAGAATTAACCCTTAAGTTTGCTACTTTGATTAAGTTAAAGACTTTATTCAAATGTTGGATATGCTGTTCGAAAGATTCAGAATATATGTTTACATCATCAATATATACCATAGTATATTTCCAAAGTACTGGTTCAAGAACTATATCCAT